TTATAGAGATGATATATATATATATATATATATATATATATATATATATATATATATATATATATATATATATTGTTTTAGACATTAATGTAATCAAGTTTGGGGTTGGCATTCGATCTAGCAGTTCTTCCTTCCCCTAGTTTTTATATGAAAATCAGTATAATCTTTTGTTTTTGGTGATAATCTCATGCTTCTTCACTTTTTACTTTCTTTATATAATTAGCTATTTTTATTTTAATAAAATTTAAACTTGTTTTGAGATTTCTTACATAATCCACCAGATATGCAAAACAAAATTATATTATTCGCTGACATCTATACGGATATGGATATTTGCTTCTGAATTTATTTACATATTCAAAAAATCTATCTATGCATACACCTATTTTTGAGGATTCGATAAGACTTCTCATTACGCTTTGTGATAATTCATGTTTATAAAATGATATATGAGAAGTTTGATCTGGGGAATATTTCGTTGACCCAATGACATCAATAAAAAAATAGGGTAACGAATGTAAATCACAAATGTTTCTTACACTCCAACTTTGAATTTGTTATGAGTTGAATAGTCGTTTTAATTTAATGAGGTGGACTACTGAATTGCATATTTATTTCTCATCGATTCCTTTTTTTATGTTTGATTATTCAAAATTAATGAACTCAAGTTTTATCCATTTAGTGATAGTTATGAAGAGTTCATACATTTTCAAACAACAATTATATATTTATATTGGTTGTGTTCGAAATGATGAAAACTTTATTCGTCTAAACTTTAAGAGAATTTGCCAGTATATATATGCTTATAAATTTTGAAATTGATTTTAATGATACATGTTGCTAAGAAAATCATTTGAGGTATATTTTTAAACAGTAAAAAGAAAAATTGATAAACCTGATTGCAAAATAAACTTTTGACTAGTTGTTAATTTCATTTATCAAATATGTTGTGGTACCAATTTTTAAATAAATAATTAATTGTGATACCAATTTTTTAAAAAATAATTAATTGTGATACCAATTTTCAAAAATAATTATACTTTCTCATGTATCGGTTACTCATGAATAAATGAGAAACTAATAAATACTGGTAAACGACTGATAAATTATCTCAGACAGGGACATCAGTAGCTATCTGTGAACGACCGAAACCAATCTATCTTATTAAAGTTGTAGTACTCTTTAGTTTTGTTTGGAAACTTAAATAGTAGTAATAAAGAGTTTAATGTTGTTTGGCTATAAGTTTAATAGAGTTGGGCTTTTAAACATTGTTATAATAGAATGGGCTTTTGTTTAATTTATTTTATGTTATGGTTGGCTTTAATCATTTGGTCCATTGTAGTAATTTGTGTTTTTAGTTTATATTTTATATAAAGACCATATTCAATTTTATTTATTGTTGACTAAATTAAAAATAACATCAGTTTTTAAGATAATAACAACTTACATTTCAAATAATTTAATACTCAAATATATTTTATCTAAAGTATTTTGTATTATTCAAATTATTCTAAAGACACAAAATATTTGAATATTTTTAACTAAAATATTAAAATTTTGTTTTCGTAACTGGATATTTATCCGAAACACCTATCCCCCCCCCAAAATCAGTTTTACCCCGATTAATCTAAAATTAATCCTAGAAATCGTAACCAAACCGTTATCAAATTGGAACCAAAAATTTATCTGATATTAGTCGGTTATTATAATTATTACCAAACTCAGCTCAAACCAAAAGAATCGAACCGGACACAAATCAATTTATATTGATAACAGAACAGATCTTATATCTGTAGAATTAAAAAAACTACGAACATAAAGAATCCAACAAAAGTTGAACCCAAAATCAAACCCCAGTCCAATTACATTCAATACGATCATAGTTTTTGAAATACGGTAATAACCGATGACTTATGAATATATTATACTTTTCCAAATTAAGTTAAACCCGCGCCGGTGCGCGGGTCAAGATCTAGTTATTAATTTAAATCTTTATATATAAAGAAGAAGAAACTCTCTTCTCCTTAACCCACCTCAGCATATGATGTGACGAAATAGACTCTTTTATATTATGACATCTGTCCACAAAGTTAAACAAAACGGATTAACACATGTTGGGCTTCGGCCTAATGTAAATTCGGTAGCCCATTAGGTTGTTTTGTTACTGTGACATATAAGTTAATTAGGGTTTCTGAAGCTTATCTCTCTTAGCCGTCGAATTTTCTTCCTCCTAACCGATCAGACGCGATCGATTCGTATTCTCTGATCATCTTAACTCTGTCATTTATCGCTCTTGATGTGATGTTACCTATAAAATGGTGACCCTCTCCGTTCTCGATTTTCATCACAAAACACTAAATCTCTGTAGAAAATTTCAGCTATGATTCACATGACGGTTTTTTTATCCGATCTCCAGGCCGGACGTTCCTCCTCCACCGTCCAAGACCGTCTGCTTCGCTACTGGGAAGCCAGGAACTTCCGCCGTGGTGGAGAGCTCATGGGTGTGGACATGCTCCTATTGGATTCCCAGGTGATGATTTTGAATCCCCTTCTGTTGTGTTTAATCGATTGAGTGCTGGAAAATCGTTTAATTTTACTATGATTTTGGTTGCTCGATTTATATATTATCCATCTGATTTTCGTTTGATGTGTAGATCTTATAAATATTTTGATTTTAATGAGAATTAGCATCCGTTAGAAGGTATTTTATGTTTGGTTTTACGATCTGGGTTTAGTGGTCGAGTTTTAATGTTATTATCAGTATTGATTTTGTATCTGGTACAATTAGTCAGACATTCACGTTTTGGTTGTTTCATATTATAGGGTTACATGACATATTATTATGACTATCTATGTTCTTATACAAGGCTATCTGTTTATTTTGACCATTTGACATTCATATGATATATAAAAAATGTCATTTTTGTTCGATTGGTTGCTGAGTTCCTATATAGATATTAGTTTAGTTTAATTTTATGGTTTGGCATTAGATTTTTTTTTTAATACTTACCATGAGAAGGTATCAGACCTATATAAGCTTTTCATATATTCTCTAATCGATCTCCTCCTCAGTTTTCAACTCGAACGTCCAACATAATAGTGATTATGTCTATTTCAAGAGTTTACTTATCTGACCTGAAAACTGGCGGTTGCTCATCGGTTGTAGAAATTAGGCTGTTGCGTTTCTGGGAGGTGAGAAGCAAGAGGCGTGGAGGTGAACTGATGAGAGTTGACATGCTTCTGGTGGACACGAATGTGAGTTTATGGCTTTGTTATCGTTTCCTTACAAAATTACATCATTATTTTCAGAAACGGAGATTTCCAATGGTTTAAACATTCTGATATATATTTTAAATCTGCATCACAGACGACTATGATGCAGGCCTCCGTCAATTCACACAGGATCCCAAAATTCCAGGAAACTCTCACTGCCGGCAAGATGTTTACTCTATCAAGTTTTGATGTTGTCTCATGTACTCGGAACCTCAAGATCACCGAATCACCTTTCATTATTCGGTTAAATGATTATACTGAATTCATTGAGATGACCACCCCGTCCTATCCCTTGCCCTTGGAAGCGTTCCGTTTCCTTTCTGGAACTGAGTTTCTCCGACTTGCTAATACAAATAGTCAGCTCACGGGTATTGTACTAGGTTTAGTGATATTCTATATAATTCATTATTAAATATATTAATATAATTTCGACGTAGATGTTGTTGCTGAGGTTACTGGAGTAAAAAGCAACGTGTGAAATCCTCCAAAGAAAAAAAATCATCTCATGACAACAGTTAATCTTGATAGGTATTCCATCTTACAGAGTTTTAAAGCTATTCAATAATAACATATTGTTTATAAGGACAACACTAACTTAGTTATAATAATTACAGCGGTCTCTCTGTTACATTGAGTTTCTTCGACTGTCAAGCTATCACTATGCAGAAGAGAGTTGATTCAATATGTGCTGGTCCAAAGGTGATTGTAGCCACAAACCTGAATCCAAGAACCGTAGGAGGTATATAAATAATAATATTTGGTTGTCTGCGAACAATGATTGCCTTTTAATATACTTTTGTATAAACTGCATCTGTGTAGGCAAATTGTTCGTCAACGCCACTACCGGTACACACGTTTATTTTGACAAAGAAACATGTGACGGAGAAGCGTGCTTTACCAGGTTTTTTCGACGTCTTATACATCTACTATTGTCCTCATATATCCTAATGCAATATGTCATTCATAAATAAAATAAAAATAATGGTGATCTTATTAGTACGTAAAAATAATATTATACGCTGTGTCATTTCATAAGTAGATATGAAATGCAAGGTTTAAAATAGCATAATGGTTTAGCTGTTTACATTCACTGTATAGAAATATAGTAACGTTTCTTGTGTGTTCTCCAATTTGAACTATTTTTCATATATTCATATAAGAATTAATATGATCAGGTCTCCTAAGTATATATATGTTTTTTAATTTAGGTATAAAAACTCGATATAACAAACATACAAAAAAATGACTCAAGATAATGGTTTAAACTTGTGGAGATGCTTTATACGTATTATGATGCATCATGCTTTACAAATTTATGATTTCATTAATGTATTTTATTAAATTTCACGTGTATTGACAGTTACAAGAAAAAACAAATAATATTTTTAGAAAGAAAAACAATTCACGCTAAGAAAAAAAAACAACTTAAACATAATAACCAACATTAATGACATGAAGTATTGACCCAAACTCTAAAACGCGTAATAATAACAACAAACATTATTCATGGCTTATCAGTTTTTCCTAGAGAGAATTATTATTTACGTAACAATTACACTTTTTAAACCGAGAAAATATCTCACATGTAACTGTAGACATAAAACCATATAAATATGTTGGTATATGTTTTCTATTACAACAACCTACCAATACATCCCTTTACATAAATATGGAACCAGATCAAGATTATTCACTATTTTTTGAAACAGAAACACATCATACGACATATGGTGCTACAAGGATGCTCACAATCAATATCCACCGGTTCAATACCAATGAAGACAACGTCAACATACGTATCGGAAATGGTTTCGTCTCTCAACACCTATGAACAAACAAATGTACACATTATTTTACATTTGACTCATTTTAATCCTCCTTCAGTTTACATGATGGAGATACAAACTGCTGCATCAGTTGTGGAATCTGATGTGACGATACAAACAACAAAAGATGAGTACAAAGAATGTACCATATGCATGGACATAATTTCAGAGGGTCAAAATATGAATTCATTGCAATGTGGTCACATATATCATCATGAATGCATCACTAATTGGGTCAAAATCAACGATAGCTGTCCTTTATGTAGAGAGACAATCTTTTAAATAACATGTACCGAACTTTAGGAGAAAATAACCTCCAGGTTTTTTATGTTATGTTCTACTCATAGGTACTTTATTTTATCTTCTAATAAATTGTTTTCAATATTATGAAATCGAAATTTTAATTTTCTATACTAAAAATTATTTTTTCATAATTAATAAATTATTACATTATGATCAAAATTATATGTTTCATAATTTCCTAATCATGATTTAGCTGTGATTATAATTTATAAGGATGACCAAATAGCAAATATTGTAAATTAAAATTTTAGTAACATTGTAAACATAACACCAACTAAATTAGACAAAGTAACAATAAATCGAAATATTAATTTAAAAAATTATAATATATCAAGTTCTGAAAATTGTAAAAGTTTTCGAAATTTTTAATTAGATAAACTTATTCCGTTTAATCTTTTTTAATAGAATCATATATGTAAAATATAAAAATTAATCAACGCATGCTCATAACATCTTCCACTGAGTAATAAACCACATTCGTTATCCACTAACATTCAGTAAATATATAGCGCCAAACTTACTTAGCATTAATACTGACATCGACATCGAGTGCTATATAAACTGCATTTATAAAATGTTTCATATCATATCAAACTCACCAAGAAAAACTAAGGATTAACTTCCGTACCAATATGAAAAATTCAAGAACTAAGCCCACATCACAGGATATTTTATAACAAATGCCATAATTTTTGTTTTGTTGACACAAATGATAAACTTTAACAACGAAAATAACTATTCCCAAACTTAAAGATTAAGTATACTAAATTAAAGCTACAACCATATAAAAACCATAAAATTACCTTAAAATCCATACGCACGGAATGTTAAAAATCTCAAAATAGGTATTAATGAAGTTTGGAATCTCACGAATATTAAACTTATAATATTAAACCATACGTTTTATGAAATAAGTTTCAAAATGTAAAATATACAATAATCACTATGCTACACAATATACCATCCGTATATATCACACATAAACAAACACACTAATAAACAATAATATAAAATATAAATGGTCCAAGAATAAAAATATAAAAAATAAAAATAAAAAAAAAACGTTGAAGACCGAACAAAAAATAAGTTGACAGATAAAAAATGGAATAAAATTGTCTACATAGAAATCACATCCCGCGCGTAGCGCGGAACTCCCCTAGTATTATATAAAAAAGTGAAAAATATTCGGTTCAGCAAGTAAGAAATATAAATAAATAAAAAGATAGTTATCCTTTATTCTACAGATCGGCATAATGATCAAATCCTAAATAAATAAAATATTTGGCGCGGACTCAAAAGATGATGATGATGATGATGATACAGATAAGCATGACTCCCACAGAAGGACACATTATTATAATCATCGCTTTCCGCCATCGCGACCAATACCCAAACAATCCGATAATCCTTCCACGTGTCACAAGAGTTATAACCAACGACTCAGATCTTACGCCTACTTGAAGGAGTACAATATCTACAATGCAACTACTACACACGATCACATCCTTTACACTAACGACTAGAGAAGTAAATTACAATTTACACCCAATAAAATCCATGTAGTTACAAAAAAGCCCGTATCTTTATAATCAAACAGAAAATCCAAGGACTAGTTTGATCGAAATAAAACATATAGGGTATTATTCAGAACATTCAAGAAACTGGGGTCCATTGTTTATCTCTACTGTACTATGGTGTCTCGATCGTAATGGGTATACTTCAATCTCTATTACAGTTCAAGACCAAGACAACCCACTTGCAGAAAGGATAGAAAGAGAGGATCTTTGTCGTTATTTGGTGCGTTGCCGGAGAAAAAAACAAAAAAGACGGTACCTTTAACACAGTGGAGGAGAAGATGGCGAGTGTGCCAGAGATAAAGATAGTGAGGAACGAGAGTTTAGGGAATCGAAGTGACGTGTCGAGCCCGGAAGCGAAGCTAGGGATGCGTGTGGAAGATCTGTGGGATGAGCAGAAGCCACAGCTTAGTCCTAACGAGAAGCTCAACGCTTGCTTTGAGAGCATCCCTGTCTCTGCTTTCCCTCTCTCCTCTGACTCACAAGGTGACCACTAGCTGATCTTTACTTGGGGTTGGTCAACTCTTTTTAGGGTTTCATCAGTGTTTGAATCAACTTTGACTTGGAATGATCTGATCTTTACTTGTAGTTGGTCACTATCAGCTTTGATATAGACGTATCTAGAAAGTATGGAGATTGATCATGGAATTTTGAGATGTGATTATATATTTATTGATGTTTAATGGGTCTCATGACCTCTTAGAGAGGTTACTTCGGTTCTGCTGTTTTAAACTTGTGTGCCAATATCTTTTTTTTTTTTGGGTTTTCCTGTGTAGACATAGAGTTGAGATCAGACACAAGTTTGGCTGAAGCTGTGCAGACACTATCGAAACTCAAGGTCCTGAGCGCTCCTGTTGTAGATGTTGATGCTCCTGAAGACGCAAGCTGGATTGACCGTTACATCGGTATTGTGGAGTTTCCAGGCATTGTTGTCTGGCTTTTGCATCAGGTCATTGTTCCTTCTAACCTTCTCTTTCGTCATGAAAATAAAAATGTTATCAATTAGTTTGTGGTACCGAGTGAACTAGAAGTTCATGTCTTTGCTTAACTTGTCTGCTTAAAAAAAAACAGTTGGACCCAACATCTCCAAGGAGCCCTGCTGTTGCAGGTTCAAATGGAGTTTCTCATGACTTCAACGCTGATATCCTGGATAATGAAGATTCAGCTGAAACTACTGGAAACTTCTTTGAGGTCCTTACTTCTTCAGAGCTATACAAGAACACCAAGGTGAAGTAACCCAACAACTTTATTACCTTTTCATAGTGTTTATCACTTCTGACATGTATTGATATTCTCTCTTTGACAGGTTCGAGATATCTCTGGAACATTCAGATGGGCACCATTCCTTGCTCTGCAGAAAGAGAACTCCTTCTTAACCATGTTGTTGCTTCTTTCCAAGTACAAAATGAAGAGCATCCCAGTGGTTGATCTAGGCGAAGCAAAGATCGAGAACATAATCACACAGTCAGGAGTTATCCATATGCTAGCAGAATGCGCGGGACTTCACTGGTTTGAAGATTGGGGAATCAAAACTCTCTCTGAAGTTGGTCTTCCAATCATGTCAAAGGATCATATCATAAAGGTCAGCTTGTAACTCTTAACTTATAGCTCCATTGAGTTCTCTTTTTACTGAACATATCACCCTTTTCTGTTTCAGATTTATGAAGATGAGCCAGTTCTTCAGGCGTTTAAGCTGATGAGGAGAAAGAGAATCGGAGGCATTCCCGTCATTGAAAGAAAAACTGAGAAGCCTGTAGGCAACATTAGCATTAGAGATGTTCACTTTCTCCTCACTGCACCAGAGATCTACCATGACTACAGGTTAATACTTTGTAAATATATTACATGCTGGCTGCATTGGTCAATCTTCAATGCTTTCTCTTGATCTTTCTTTTAGGTCAATCACAGCGAAGAACTTCTTAGTAGCGGTTAGAGAGCACCTGGAGAAGCATGGGGATACATCAGCACCTATCTTGAGTGGTGTCATTGCTTGCACTAAGAACCATACGCTGAAGGAACTGATTTTGATGCTAGACGCAGAGAAGATCCATAGGATGTATGTGGTGGATGATGGAGGTAACCTGGAAGGACTCATCACTCTCAGAGACATCATTGCAAGACTTGTACATGAGCCACCTGGCTATTTTGGGGACTTCTTTGACGGTGTTATGCCTCTACCTGAAAACTACAGAGTCTAAGAAAATAGTGTGTAAATTTGTCTTTGGTTTCGTAATGCTTCTCTGTATGTTTGTGAGAAAGTTCTTGGACTTGTGTTTAGACGTTCTAACAGAAATAATAAATGAAGAAAGAGCCAAGTGTGAGTGAACATGTCTAAAGTCTTTGCGTGAATGAAATCCAGTAATCTCAAGATTTTCAGATTTGCTCCTACAGTTTGAATTGGAACAACTAGGTCCCTGGTCAGAGTAAGTCTTCTTCGAACTTGATCAAGATCTGGTCCATCTCCGGTTGATGTTTCCTAACCTGAAAATTTTGTTTTACACAGCGTTAGATACCAAAACAATAATTCTAGTGTAGGGTCATCGACTTATCTAAGGGACTTTACTTTGATGTTGGCCATGGCTAAGAGCTTGTGAGATGCTACATAAGCAACATCTGAGTCTTTCAATCTCTTTTCCACAAAATAGATTACCTCAGAAACACCAGACTGCAACAATGAAAACCAAAATGTAACTGTAGTGAGCTACTTGCATTAAGTTAACAGGTCTAAACATTTCACTCGGGTTCTGAAGTTTGATACCAAAACGACCGGTTATATGAAGACACTAACAGTATAACATTAATACAGTACTTCATAAGGATCCAAATTTGACATCAGTAAGAATTGTTTGAACAAACCTGTATAATAATCTTTGCACATTCGTTGCAAGGGAACATTGTCACATAAAGTTTCTGCAGAAGGTTTGAGGAAGACAAACAAACTTATATAAACACACAAATATTTTGGAACAGAAATTGTATTTGGCTCCTTGTTTAACTCTCTTTGCATCTTAGAGTTTTTGGTTTTCTATAGCAAGTAGATAGAATATTCAACTAAAAAGCTGTTGCATAGAATATTCAACCAGGTTTTGATCTCTTGGCACAAGCAAGAAAACAATGTTGAAAATAAAACTAACCTGTCCAGCAGCAGATGCGTGGTTTGTGTTTAGTATGGCATTGACTTCAGCGTGACAAACATATCTACAAAACCAGAAACAGGAACATCATAACTAAGCAATGAACTACAACGGATGAGGATTTCTAACATCTGTAGTCTGCATCATTTTTGAGATGAGTGCTTACGGGTACTTTGTCTCCAGTGGGTCGCCAGTCTTTGATTTCTGAAAATTAGCAGCAGAAAATTAAGAAATCTAGTTGAAAGATACTTTGCTCTTCTCTAGACATTTCATTTTCTAGGTGAATCAGGTGATCCTCTTTTTACCCTTACTCTTTAGCTTAGTGACTACTTGAACCTAACTTTGATAGGAACTCAATAACATCAATTCTGTGACATAGAATCTTATGAAAAAAGCATGCGTTTGTCATACCTTGGCCCATGGAAGTCTGTCATCCGAGCAACCTCTTGGAAAACCATTATAGCCAATCCCTAAAATAAGTAAGAGATGAAAGTTCTTTACTACTACAGAACTCATTTTTCCATAGTTGTTCAAAAAAGATACCAAAAGAGAAAGTGTGATCCATCAATCTTACCAAGAATTACACCATTTTGGCTCACCAAACACGCACCGACCTGCCAAAACCATAAGAATGGGAAACATATAGTTAGTTCTGAATATTTCCTACAGAAAAAAATGAGAATGGACAAGAGATCCAACCCTTTTTGAATCATAAGATCCATAAGAAAAGGATATAGACTAGTCACAAAAGGAAGGCGTCTGTATAACATATCTAATTTGTAAACCTTGAGCCCAATTCTTAGATTCAAATCTCTAACATTTCAGACCTTAATATCCATACATGAAAATACACTAATCAGCCAGTGTGGTATCTTAAGATGGAGTCTCTATCCCCAAAGACCGCTAAACAAGGATAGCATATAACCACAATCTTCTGATAATAACTAAGAGATAAGAACAAAAGGCAGCACCAAACTGCAAAAACATTAACTTGCAGATGGGCGGCTGTTTCATCTCAGAGAATCAAATATCATTTACCATATAAAGATTATATTCACCTGGAAGCTATAACTATCATCTCAGAGAATCAAATACGCACTAAAGCAAACATATTCCACCACTTTTCTAGGAACTAACTAGTTGAATAAATCTCAATTAAAAACTACAAAACCATTATTACCTGCCTGTTAGGATCCTTTGACCTTTCTGCTGAAAGGAATGCAATCGCCATAAAGTAATCATCCCACGATAAGTACCTTCACAACAATCAAAGCAAAGACTATCATATCTTCAGATTCCCAGCTGGAGATAAAGTTGGAAGCTTTAGCTATAAAAAACTGATTTTGAGCTCTTTAAAAACAATTTAAAGACAAACCCATTTCGTTTCAAAGGGCTGTAAGGATCGAGAGCCGGGAATCTTCTGGAAATCGCGGAAATTTCGGTGGAAGCAGCTCTTCGTCGGGGTTTAGGGTTTGGTGAGAAGAAGCGAAACGCAAGAGCTGAGATCAACGCGCCGAGGATTGCTGAAGTGGAGACGAGTGCGAGATCTCGAGAGGTGTTCATGGAGAGAGAGAGAGAGAGATTGTGCTGAGCAAAAATCGAGAGATTCTCTCTGTTTCCCTCTTATCAACATAGAAATGTTTTAAGCAAAAAAAAAAAAAAAAAAAAAAA